GCACTCCAAGTCAAACACTTTGTCCGATAAGTACATCGCTACCCGTCATACTCTGTCGATTGCACCCACGTTAGCGCGAGAAAGCCATTGGCTGCGTTGCAGAGCGCGAGAACCTGAAATTACGTGTCGCCTGGGCGTTGCTAAGACACGCTTCGTTTTGAAATGAGGAATGTGTCCTCGATTCGGCACCTAACGCATCCTGCGCCTGCGCCTTCTCCTACCATCCCTCCCCCCTCTGTGCAACTCGCACTCCCGGCGTGAATTAGATCGCGCGTCAACCCAGGCGGCTCAATGACAGCGCCCATCTCGATGCCGGGACGCGCGGGGCGACGCGCCCAACTCCCCCGCCCCCCGCGTCGGCCACCTCCGCCTGCTCATTGCCCCCTCCCCACCTTGTCACCTTCGTGCAAGGGCCGCGTGAGCGTCTGCGCGGGCGGCGCCGTTCGTTCGGCGACTCGAGAATGCAGATGACGTCGACCGCGAGGCCCCTCAAGGATCCTGGTTTCCTCAAGGAGGGCTACGGAGGGTTAAGCCCGCGCTGGGGCAGATCCCTATTGTCGGGCCGCTGAAGGTGGAACACTCTTCGTTGGGGAGGGGTCAAGTATTCCTTTTCTTGCACTTTGCATTCGGTTGTCTCTGGGTTCCGCATGGGAAATCGAAATTTAGCACGTGCACAAAGGGGTGTCTTTCTTTGTTTAGGGTTCATTATGACAGCGTGTCGACGGCGCTGATGGACCCTCAACCGGCTAGGAAAATCGCCCCCGTGCGAGCTTTCGAGTCCGCCGCCTGGGTCAGATTTCGGCGCCACCGCTGACGCGACGCGCGAGGGCGGGGGCGCGACGGCCAGGGCTGGGGCCCGAGCCCGAGGAGCGCGAGCCCGAGCACGTGCCCGACGTAGAATTGCAGGCGCGCGGCATGCGCACACATTGCCGAATCAGAAATGAAAGGACTTGGAAGAGACAGAGGGCGTGGAGCGGAGCACTTTGAAAACTCCCTAGAGCGGCAATGCATCTGCGCACGATGAGGATGCATTCAGACCACTAAATCGGATTAGCCAGAACACAACGAGCTGGCCGAACTGAACCGACGTGCTGGAGCAGAAGGTCGAACTTTTCGGGGCCTTGGGGAAGTCTGAGAACTCTGGGCCACCTAGGATCTCCACGACCGCGCCCACGAATAGTGGTGGGATGGGGTAAGATCTTTGACCACTCCCCCCCCCGGCGCCCTCCAGAGGGCCTGCGGCCACGAGGGGAGTTTGAAGGTGCACTGGGCTACATGAGCGGCTGCCGAGGGTGGAGTGCGCGGCTGCCGGCGCGGGGGCAGGCCCTGTTCCTGCTGCGCGACGTGCGCTGCGCTGGGGGGGCAGCGTGTCCGAATTCGCGGCGCTGGCGGCGCGGCGTATAGCGCAGCTCCCCAAGGTGCCTGACAGACCAGCGCCTTCCCGGGCGCCCGCGGCTGCGCGGGGCGCCTGCTGTCCGCTCGTCCAACAAAAAACACTGGGCTACACGGTTGTACGACATCGCCGTGGCGAACATCTGCCAAAATTCAGCTCTCCCCGTTCGGCTGCGGGGCCCCCGCTGCAATATTGCCAACAGAAGACATGTAGAAAGCGGTTCGTTCGGCGACGGGTCCTCAATACAATGCGGCCAGGGAGCGTCCCGTTGCTTCGTGTAGCGAAAGCACGGTCGCGCAGCTTGGATTCCTGACCAGGCAAGTTGGATTTCGCTCAGGGAAGTTGGCAGAATCGTCGTTTCGAGTTCGGGCCGACGAGTTCCGACATCAATTCACAAATTTTGCCCGAAGGAGCCCCAAGCGAAAACTACAGTTTCGACGTTTTGAGGTTGCCCGACTCGATGCGACGATCCCGCCTGAGACTTCATCGAAAAAACATTCCGGCCAAAGTCGAAATTCCCAGGCTCAAAGTCTTGATGGCGACTCCACCCAAAACATCCTCCAATGCACCAGTCAAAATCCATTTTTGTTATTACTCGAAATGGCGATTCCACCCAAGATTTCCTCCAAATGTCACTTCGCACCCCGTGGGTTTCAAAGTCGAACAGGGGTCGTCTTGCCGCTCCCAGGCTCAAGCACTCAATAACGTGATGGCCCCTGCCCCCCAGGGAGCATTCGTTCTGAACTCTCTTGGTGGAGCCATGAATTTCCCCGAAATATATCAGGAGTCTGCTGACTGTCTTTGCGGTCGGCCTGGCGGTCGCTAAAGGCCGCCGCCGCTGCGCCGTCAGGGCCCATGGCGTGCTTTTGGTCAGCATGCACCTCCGTGGCCCCGATGTTCTTGAAGTCGCGCCAACATTCCGCCAGCTCCTTCTCCTCGTCCGCTTGACCTGGTCGGCGCCCTTCACTCCCTTCTCGCTGCCTGCCTCCGTGTTCGTAAATCTAGACCTGGTGTGCGTCTTTCTCGTACTCTGTGCTCATCTCCGCGTACGTGTTCTTGACCTGGTGTTTCTCGCTCTTCGCGGTGCTCTGCTGGCACCCTGCGCTCGTCTCCGCTGACTTTCCAGCAAAACTGGCGACATTATCTTCCAAGTTAGCCATTGAGAAAGCACCCGGCGGCGGGGCGGAAGGTCCCCCTGCGTCCTGACTCGGGGCCACACTTCCAGCAAAACGTACGACGTTACCATCCGAATTAGCCACCGGGGATGCTCCCAGCGGCGCGGCGGATGGTCCCCCTGCGTTCTGACCCGAGGCTTCACTGTCAACAAAACGTGCGACGTAACCCTCCAAATTTGCCGCTGAGGGCGTATACCAAGCGGCGGGGCAGAGCCCCCCCCTGCGTTCTGACTCGAGGCGTCCCTGCCATATTCCGCGTTCTTGGTTGCCTTGAGTTTGGCTGTCCAGTCCTTTTTTATCCTCAAGGCCGTCAACGCGTACTGGGAGGCCTTCCACCTTGGCCATCTTTCGCACGTCTTCGCCATCGTGCTACTCAGGTGTTTCCCCGCGGTGGCGCCACATTGCCGGCATAAGTACTTGGCTTGGTGTCTCGACCAGCGTATGGCGTGCGACGAGTGCGATAGGTTGCCTCTCTTGGTGGAGCCACGAATGGGCCAACACTTTCGCAGCGGCGATATCAGGCATACTTCTTGGGGCACTTCGGAATAATTTGGAGCACTTTGCGGTGTTGAGTGTTTGGGGGGCATTTCGATTGTACTTCGGAGCGCTCAGATGTATTATGGGGTTCTAAGACATGAGGAGTGCTTTCAGACAGTTCAGGGTATAAAAGGGATACTCTGGGGGCACTTTGAGCTAAGGGACATTTTGAAGGAGTAAGGGGTACGAAGCGGTCTTCTGAGGAACTTGGGGGCAGCTTGGGGCACCAGGTGTAGTGTGTGGTTAAAGACCTTGGGGTGCTGAAGTTGGGTCATGAGTGCTGAGGGTGCTGAGGGGGGATCTGAGGAACCTTCGGGTGCTGAGGGCGGCCCCGACGGGTACCTGGCTTACTTTCGAGTGGTGAGGGGACACTCACTCGCGGCGGCGGATTCGCGCGTCAGAACAATTGGAATAACGGCTGAGCCTTGCCCGAGCAGAATCATAATAATCATCGCCACAACAGCCAATGCCACAGCGGTTGGTTGAGTCTTGTCATTTCCCTCGTCCTGTCTTCCACCCCCTCTAAGACGAACGCGTTCCACTACTAGCAAAAGGAACGACTCGCCAGTGGCCTGGATTCACCGCGAAGGGTTTACGATTCACTACATCGAGGCAAACGTAATGTTCTGACGTTTGCGAGAGGGCACTTTCCGAGTAGTGGAACGCGCTCGGTGGGCATCCCTCTGCCCCGTACTTCTCCTCCTTCTCCTCGAGAGCGGCGCCGCGCTGGCCAGCGCTCAAGACTCTGCCCGTGATTCAACCCAGGCAACCACGCCGAACTGAACTGGGGAAACCAAGAGGTACCGATACCGCTACCGTCGGAGCGCTGACCTAAGGAACCCAAAATAAGGAACGAGGCCCCTTTTCTCCAGAAGTTGAACTTCGACGTCCCATCGAAAACCTAAGGAAAACCTGCGGCAAACTGTGAAACAATCAAGGAACACCCAGCCCCTCCCAAACGAAAAGGGTTCCTTCTTCAGCGCCCCGACTGTACTCCCCAAACCTCTCCCAGGGTGCGTTCTGACCAGAATTTCGGAGCGCATCCAGCGGTGGCGACGAGGGCCTCCCAGGGGGCTGAGACAGGCGAAAACGAGGGAAAGGTAGCGGTACGGGTGCCTGTTCCTCCTCTGAGAACCGAACGAACGAACCAAACTGGCCGAACCGCCTTGTGGTTTGCCTCTAACTGGACCTTCTGGACAAGACTGGGCTGCGGTCTGAACCAGACTGGCCTAAAACCGACCGGGCTGCACACCGGACAGGGACCGGGCAGGACCAAACCGAGGCCATCATATGAACAGGGCATAGCACGACAGCAAATAGTACGAGCGGGAGTTGGGACACGCAAACTTACAAGAAGAGCGGGATCATGAGCAGTCATCGGAAATCGCTATCCTGCCGCCAGGCACAGAATGCAGTGCCCCCAGGTCCCCTCAAGCTCTCCGCACTGTTCAAGTCGGGCCTGTCCCTCTACAGGAGGAATATTCAAAAATAGTGAAGAAATAGTCTGGGGACGATTCGTTGGGCATTTTTTGATTATTTGAGGTATGTGTTAACTATTATTTCCTAAATCTCCCTGCAGGGGGACACGGCCGACTTAAAGATTGCTGCTTCATAAATGGCAAAGAAATGGCTGCTTTGCTGATGGCCAGGACCGCCGAGATCTGGGCATTCCCAGGCGATCCTGCTCAATTCTTGGAGCCTTCGGGGCGAGACAGAGCAAGAGAAAGAAGTCGCCGAGAAGGAGGACAAGGAGGGAGGAATATGCATCCGAAGAACAGGGATGCGGAGGGAGGGAGGATGCAGGAGGAGCCGCCGAGGGCAAGAGCGACAGGACAGAGGCTGAGGAAGAGGCGGCGAGGGAGGCACGGGATGACAATGAACAGCCCGCCGCGCTCCTCGCCGATCTCGACCGCCTCCTTCGGCTCGAGGTGTTTCTTCAACATCTTGTCCGCGGGGACAAATGCGTCCTTGTTCAGTCCACAGTTGACGAAGAAGCCTTTTGCACACGTCGCGGTGACTATGCCTGAAGGCAGGACCGGTCAGCACCGAACCGAGACATCGGATCGAATCGGTGTGCGCGTGCGCTCCAGATCGGGCCGCATCTGCGCCACACTTGAACGACCTCCATCCCACAAGAAAATGACACAAGCAAACGATCGCATGCCGTGTTACCGTCGTGGCAGAGATCGAGGAGCAAATTGCTACAGAAACCTAATGTCTCGGAGGTCCGCGCGGACTTCTCGAATCGGAACTGGACTCCCCTCGCTGGCGCGCGGCGGCGCCTGAGGCGCCGCCAGGGACGCCCAACGCCGATTAACCCAATCCGAGCGGACCTCAGAGGAAAGATGTTTCTGTACCTTGTTGTTCTTCGAACGGCGATGCAAAACGACCGCACGCTGCTGTCCTGGCAAAGAAGATCCGCATCTCACGGACTCCCGGCTTTCACGCCGTCACGGGGGCGGAACTTACACGGCAATGACGATTGAGCAAGCCGGTGGCCACCGTGCGCGTGCTGACTACCGCGGCGGCTTGACGGCATCGCTGCGCCACCGCTGTAAGGCCATCACTGCTCACGGAAGGTCTGTCTCCTGGCCCTGGAACCCCCAGTCATCCAGCCGCGGGTGTGGTGGCCACTCTTTTGTCCCCGGAGGGAAGCAGCGAATGACCACCAACCCGCTGACGGGTGAGAAATACGCAACCGCACCTAGAAGGAGGAGCATGAGCATAAAGGAAGAGGCAACCATGCTCACACCCATGCGCACAATATGCTCTGGGCATGGCGCACCATCGGTCGCCACCCCACCCAAATCTCAAGCGGGCGCATATCCAGATAACCAAACCTCTACTGACCAGACGAACGCAACACAACACCGCCCAAACACAAAGTGTCGGAGGCTCGCGCGGATGTCTCCGATCCACACTGGACCCCCCTGGCGGCGCCTCCAGCGCCGCCCCTAGGCGCGGTCTGCGCGCCAGGGGGGCTCGTTCCAGCGTGGATATACCTGCGCGGACATCCCGGAAGTTTGTGGTTCTGATGTGGTGTTCCGTTTCGACGGAGCGCGCAGAATCATCAATGTGGACTCACCCCTGGCATGAGGACCTGCGGCGGCATTTGCCAGTGTTTGCCCTGCGGAGCATCGTCGTGGAGCCAGAGAACCGACTCGCATCGGCCGAGAGCTCGGATGCACACCGCGCCACGCAGACCTCGGGACACATATGCCATGAGAGAAGCAGGTCCTAACGGAAATGGGTCCTGGACCCCGAGGCCTTCCCCTGGGACCAATTCTTCATCCTCAGTCGTTTCCTGACGGTCACGGGGCCAGTGGAGGGCCAAAAGAACCCGAAATCGGCGAAATACCTCCAGACCCGTTTCCCTCAGGACCCGTCTGTTTCATGGCGACGCATTGGATCGTCAAGACATCAAAAGAAACAAGATCTGGGGAGACCAAAAGCTTCCCGTACCGCTACTCCCCAGACCTCTCCCAGGGTGCGTTCTGAGCAGCATGTCGAGGAGAATCCAGCAGTGGCGACGAGGGCCTCTCAGGGGGCCCCCAAAAAGGGAAAACGAGGGAAGGGTGATGAAATCGGCACCTTCTCCTCCTCTGAAGATTGGCGACCAGCCGAGATCGATATCGAATCGGAGCGAGGCACCAGGCAGATCTGAGCGAGACATCGCAATCCTTGGGGGGCTGCGAGCCTCACGAATGCAGCTCGCAGAAGTATATGCGCCCATGTTACGTCATCACCTCCGTATAACGTCTCCCAAGCTACTCATGCCCCGCATTGCGCAGGGGTTGGGTACGTCGCCAGGTTAATTTTCCGAAGCTAGAGAGAGGGACCCGTACGGCTTCACCCCAAAGGCGCCCGGACACTGAACGTCGATCGGACCGTTATCCAAGGTTCCAAGGCATATCATTGCTAGCCTCCAGACGCCCCCAACATCGCCCCTAGAGACCCTCCACAGGGCCCCCCGATGGCTCAAGAATGCCCCAAGACGACCCAAGAGGCACCCAAGACTGCCCAAAGAAGCTCAAGACGGGGAACTCTCGAGCTGACATTTCGCGCCCTCCGTCCCAAGATGACCCCAGAGACCGCTGGCAGGCCCCCAAGGGGGCCCCCCAGAAGCCGCATGTGGCCCCCAAGAGGCCGAAATCAAGCCCAAGTTGCCCCCAAAGGCCCCCGAGAGGCTCCCATAACCGCCTCCAACAGGCTTCCGAGAGGCCTCCCACGAGATCCCAAAAGTACCCAAGAGGCATCTGATCTGACCTACATCCCAGAGGGGGTGGCGGGTTGAGCCGAAGGTTGCGATCCGCCGACACCTGTGGCTTGCTACAGGGGTGCGCGGCGTGCCAAATGATGGGTAGTTTGTGGGTACGCTTTAGGGGAAAAACCCGATAACTCGTCTCCAAGACGGCCAAAATGATTCCAGAATGCCTCCAAGACGGCTAAGATGATCTCAAGAGGAGAGCACAATGTTGGTCCCGAAATGCCTCCAGGACGGCCCAAGATCCCTCCATACGGCCCACGAAGCCCCCACGACGTCCCAAGAGAGCGCCAGGATGACGTCCAGGAGGCCGAACTCGTTGATCGCAATTGTTTCAATATTTCTAGCGTTCTCGCCTTCCCGGGCTTCCGACGCTGAGACGCACCAAGACGGCCACATAAGCCTCCAAAATCGCCCCAAGACGGCGCAAGAGACCCCCCGAGAGGCCCGCAAGATGATGGCCCAAAAGAGCCCCAAGACGGCCCAAGACGTCCCCAAGACGGCACCATAGACCCCCACGACGGCCCTCAAGCGCCCAAAGAGGGACCCACGACTGTCCAGACAGGGCCCCAAGACGGCCTCCGAAGGCCAAGAGGACTGACAGAGATCCCCCCAAAAAATTCAAGAGGCTCCAGGAGGCCCCCTAAGAGGCGCCCGGAGGCCCCGAAAGGCCCCCAGGAGGCCCCATGAGGGCCTCAAGACCTATTTTTCCTCCTCCTCCTCCTCCTCCTCCTCCTCCTCCCTCTCCTCCATGTTCTCTTCCTCTCTTAGGGGTTTCCCCTCAAGGGTCCGACAACTTGCTGGGTGAACACGTATTCTGGCACCTTGGCCAGACTTCGGCCTTACGTTTGGCCACGGGGGCGTCTCCAAATGGCAAGGGGCAGTCGGTGTCTTGGAGTCCTATGACTATTTCTCAACGATCTGGAGGGCGGGGGAATCCCCCTCCCACCAAACCAGACCCGCCCGATTCCCAGTCTGGCAGAATGTCCCCCAGGACTTCCGGGCGGTTCTTTTGATGGGATTATAAGATGCAGCGGGGGGCGGGGGGAGGTTGGCCAAACGGCTGCGCGAGAGCCGAAGGCGGCCCAGAAACCCACCAAACCACCGACGGCGGCCCAAATGACCCCCTCAAAAAGCCCTACAAACGCAGATGACATTGTGCATTGTTTCCTTGTTTTGTGTTAGACGGTTTGATACGTGTTTCTTTGGTTCTCCAAGCATCCGAGACCACCCAAGAGGCATCGCAAATCGTCCAGAACGAGCTAACCTGCTTGCATCTCAGAAGAGCCACATGAAGACGGCCCAACAGGACCCCAATAGTCAAGATGACCCGAAGGGAGCCCCATGACGGCCCGAGATTGCCCCAATATGCCCCCCGAAACACTCCCAATCGTGACCGCGGTTCGCAGCAAGGTGGCCCGAGGAAGCCCCCTGAGGCCCCCAAAGGGCACCCAGGAGGCATCCAGAAGCCCACAAGAAGCCCCTAAGACTGTCTCGCCAGGCCTCAGAGAGGTCTTCCAAGGAGGAACCTCAGCAACAAAAAATACTGATGAGGATGCGGCAGGGCTCGTCGAAGACGACGAAAACGGCAACACTGAAGTATAGCTTACTTGATTGCACGTACCTGTCGCCCTAATTTCGTCCAGAGGCCAAAATTGAAGGACCCAGATGAACGTCACGAAGCGCCAATGCAGTTTTGTAGTTCCCTGTGAATGTGTGTATGTATACACACCTCTATATATGTATACATGTACGTATGTGTATGTGTATGGGCCTTGTACTGTCTACAGTTCGCTACGTGTACAAAACTATTTATCTTATACGCATGTGAATGCGAATGTTACTAGACCGACGCGCGCGCTTCCCGTACGCTTAGCTTCTAGCATGCACCTTCCCTTGATAAGACTATGAGCTGCTCACACATGCACGCGCGTACGCACATACCCGCAACTATCTTTGGCAAGACTTGAACATGTAGCACAGACTCAAACTGAACCGATACACAGCACCGTCAGAGAAACGCCAACGCCGAGGTAATGCGAAATCATATGTATCAGTGCAGTTATGTGTGATGAGCGCAAGTCTCTGTGTGCGATGGCATTGACATGGCGATGCACATTGCCACGTAAGGGAAACGCAACGACAATGCATCGTAATGCAACACAGCGCACAACCTGTCCAGGAACACTTAGCAACGCAACTGCACGGCAACGCAATGTAATTAGCGCACATCAGTGCAAAGAGGAGCACTATACTGCAAACAAATACATTGCAAAACCCCGTTGAACAAAACATATGCAATGAACAACCGTACAATACAATGCAATGCAACGAACCCGACAACCCAGCGAACGTGAAGGTCGGACAACGCAAAGATGAATCGTCAAATGAAAAAGCCATGGGAACCTGAGCTCGGGGGCGTAGACGCCACCGGGGCTCTTGCACAGAGGGAAAGAGGGATTGGGGAGGGAAGAACGATGAAGCAGAAGCGAGAAAACATATTGCAGCAATGACGAGACAAGAACCAGGTAGGAAGACGGCGGAAAGAGGAGCGGAGGAAAGGGAAGAAGGAGGGCGGGATGGAATAATTAGCACAAAGGAAAATAGGAGGGAGGATGAACAGGGAAAGGCGAGGAGCGAGGGAATAAGAAGGAGAGATGGGAGAGCTAGGATACGCTCCTGAGGCTCTCGTGGACTCCTCAAAACCATCTCTGACCTCATTTGGAAACGTCGTATGACTGTCAAGGGTCCCTTCCGACGGCAGCTTGGAAACCGACAGGGCCCCCTTTGGCTTTCGTTGTGCAAAATGGGACTCATATTGAGACATGTCGGAAAGCAATCGGGCCATGCCATCTAAGGCCTCCTGGAGCCGCGCCTGGATCCATCGGGCGTCCCCTGGATCCCTCGGGTGTTTCGCATCCCCACTCAGGACTATGGAATACCCCTGCGATGTGTCTTCAAATGATAACCCGCCTGTCCGAAACCCTTCGGAACAGCCTTCGACCGGCACATTGCGAATCACAGGGATGCAAACATGAAACACTATAGATATTTGGCCGAATTTGGTCAGCTGTGTCTTCTTGGGGCATTTGGCAGCACTTTTTTGTGGCCGCCGATTGCATGGTCTGGGGGGTTCTGGGATCGCTCTGACGGGACTCATGGTACGCTCAGGCGGGCGTGGGCCTGTCCGCAGAGCCCAGGGCCTTTAGGGGCTTCTGTAAACGCTCATCGGCTTTCCCAGAGTCCACGGGTTCCTCTTGGGATGCCTCTTGGGCGCCTTCTGGGACCAGTCTTAAAGCTTCTTGGAGCCTCTGTTGGGCCTCCTGCAGGGGTCTTGGAACAGTCTGGGGGCCTCTGTCAAAAATGAGGTGTCGCTTCGGAATTGTTGTGATGCTTGTTTCTTGGACCCCCCTTTGGGGTCCCTTTGGCCGCATCTCGGGGCGTACTGAAGCCTCTGAAGCCGTCTGGGAACCATCTTGGGGGTCTTGAAGCGCTCTTGGACCGTCCGAGAGGCCGCTTAGATCGTCTGGGGAACGCCCTCGGGCCCTCCGACAGCCCCCCGAAGGCCCCCTATGGATCCCGGGCCGCCAGGGAGGGGCACAGTGGGTACCAGGCGGTTTTTTTTAACTCTGCATCATGCCCTGGAGGTGCCACCAGGGAGAGCCAGTTTTGTCTGGCAAAGAAGGACCTGGGCGGTGGCCGACGCAGTGGACGGCGACCCCAGGACCAGCAGGAAGGAAGGAAGGAAGGCAGGAAGGAAGGAAGGAAGGAAGGAAGGAGGAGGAGGAGGAGGAAGAGGAGGAGGAGGAGGAAGAGGAGGAGGGGGGGGGGGAAAGGGGGGGAGGAGGAGCGAAAACAATGGGTACGGGGGATGGGGGGGGGAAGGAGGAGGAGGAGGAGAGGAGGAGGAAGAGGAGAGGGAAGAGGGAGGAGGAGCAGGAGGAGGAGGAGGAGGAGGAGGAGGAGGAGAAGGATGAGGAAGAGGAGGGAGGAGGAGGAGGAGGAAGATGAGGAGGAGCAGGAAATGATGAGGAGGAAAAGGAGGAGGAGGGGAGGAGGAGGAGGAGGAGGAGGAGGAGGAGCAGGAGGGGGGGAAGGAGGAGAAGGGACGAAAACAGTGGGTACGAGGGGGGGAAGGAGGAGGAGGAGGAGGAGGAGGAGGAGGAGGAGGAGGAGCGCAGTCTACCCGGCCAGTCGCTCAGGCCAGTCTTTCAAACTCCAATGGGATCTGCAGCGTCCCGCGCTCTATCGCAGCGTGCCATAGCACTCTGCACCTGTGGTCCGTCTTTGGGTGGCCAGCACGCACCGGGAGCGTGCACCGAACGGAGGGGGAGACACGAGGGCGATCGGGGGGGACTGTAGAAGGTGCGAGAGACTTCCAGAATTCCATGCGAAGCTGATACACAGGGCATGTGCAGGGGTCTCCTGCACCATGCCCTGAGAGGCAGCCGAGTTCCGCTGCCAGCGAGACAGAGCCGACGGGGCGTGACTCAACACGGGGGGCTCGAGCGCCTCGGCTCGCAAGCAAAACCACGCTGGTCACTTCGGCGTCTTGGTGGCCGGGTGTATGATCAGCGATGCTTTCTAAAAGTGGCTGGTGCACACGGAGGGAGGGGACTCATGAATTATGGCACGCCGGCCCGAGGTGCGTCGGCCAGGGGACAGCGCCTCGCTGGGCCGCGGGGAGAGCTCAGTAGAGCTTCTCGCAGCTCCAGCCTTTTGTGCCCGCCGCTGCAGGGTCGCACTCCCGCATGCAGCTGCCCCACTCCTTGTTTTTCAGGTAGCAGTAGTCGTCCTGGCCAGCGCAGAACTTGTGGACCCTGCAGTCCTGGCCGCGCAGGCCCCCCGTGGTCCAGTCGTAATCTTCGTCGACTGGCCCGGACGGCCCAGGAGTGCGGGCGCCGAACTCCTCACAGTCCCAGGGGTCTTTGTTGGCGTCGCCAGGCATCGACTTGTTCTTGGTGCAGTTCGTCCGGCAGCTGGCCCACGCCGAGTTCTTCTTGTAGCACTGGAAGCCGGCCTCGGCGCAGCACCGCAGGGCGGTGCAGTTCTGGCCGGACGCTGGGCAGTAGTCGGCGCTGGGGCGGAGCGAGTTGATGGCTGTGGCCTCCTGCGCGGCCAGCCGCACTAACGAGTGGCCCGCCCGCCCCGGGCCGCCGCGCGCGAGGAGGAGCAAGGCGGCCGTTGCCGCGGCGAGGGCCAAGAGGAGCGCGGCGGCGTTCGCCGGTCGGCTGAGGCGCGCGGGCCGCGGCTGCTCGGGCAGCAGCTCCATGGCCTCCTCCGCCTCGGCGCCGCGGTCGGATCGGTCGCCTGCCATGGCTGGCCAGCGGCTGGTCCGCGCGGCGCGGCGCCTGGCTGCTGCGCTCGGGGGGTCGGCGGGCTTGAGCCAAAATGGCTACGGAAGGAGGAGGAGGAGGAGGAGGAGGAGGAGGAGGAGGAGGAGGAGGAGGAGGAGGAAGGGGTCCAGTGCCGACCCAAGAAAACCACTCGCCAGGGCCGCCAGACTAATTAGGTGCGCCTTGCTCGCCTCCCCCCCCTCCCTCTCCCTCCCCCCCTCAGCCACAGGGCGCCTGTTCGCACGGTTAAAAAGTGTAGCTTTTCGAACTCGTTTTTATTCGACCTCCCTTTCCGTCCACTGGCAAAGACTCCACTGTCTCCGTAGACGACTTCTCCTCACTCTGTTGCGATCCTTCCCTCTGGCCCCTGGGGCCCGAAACCATGGTTGTGCCACCCTGACCACAATCCATGTGAACCACGCCCCATGTAAGGATTCCCCAGGGAGGACGTACGCGCCAGGCTACGTATGTGAATATATCCGAAGCTTGCGAATCGCACTCATGTTACGGACGCTCGAGTGACGCGGTGTCTTGAAAACCACGCGAATGTAGGCACGCTAAGCCATCGGTCGTAAAAAGTAGGCAATACCATTTAGTACGAAGACGTTCCCCTCGCCCTCTGCAGAGGAAGGACGAAGGACACGCACTCGATAATTGAAGTACCTTGGAAGGCGCCTCGAGCAAAACAGAAACCGGGAGCCCCACAGACACCCACTCTCAGCGACAGCACCCCTCCTCGTCTCGCTCCTGGCCCCCCCCCCCCCTCGTGGCCTTCCCCCTCCCAAAGACCCACGAGGCCGTGTTCTCTCACCTCGACCCCGATGAGAGGCCTGTTTTCCACCACCACCACCATAAGTTGGAGGGGGGAAGGAGGTGGAGGATGAGGAGGAGGAAGAGGAGAAGGAGGAGGAGGAGGACCCCCTCCCCCTCCTACTTATGGTGGTGGTGGTGGAAAACAAGCCCATCACCCGAGGCCTGGGCCCCTTCCCCGCGACCGGCCTCTCCTCCCGCGCCATCCTCGCATGGCCCAAGAGGCCCGGCCAGGGCCCCGAAGGCCGAGAAGACCATATGGCGAACGCGACCCCGCCGCGATATCTGGCCACGGCGCGAGGTGGCCACGGGGCCCATGGCCGCCCCCGGCCCTCCCGACCCCTCGGGCGCCCGGGGCAGCCTGTGAGCTTCTCCCCCCGCTCGAGCTTCAGCGCCCGCTCGAACGCCTCGGCCCGACCGGCACCCCGCCAGGGGCCCCAGGCGGCGCCGCCCCCCTGCCTGGGCCGCGGGGGTCCCGGCCGCATCGTGCGAGGCCCTGCGACGCAGGCCCAGATGGAACATCACACGGTGTTGTATGGCTACCGGTGGCCACAGAAACATGGAGGATCACACGTTGTTCATGGCAACCGTGTTTGTATGGCCAATACTTCCGTATGAGCACTGGAAGCAATGGCAGAAACATGTGATGCTCCATCTGAGGAACTGACCCCCATAATGGCTCCGCAATGGTGCCCAAGAGGCCTCCCATCTATCTCTCCAGCACGGGCATGGCTGCGCCTTCCCCCCAGGCCGGATCCGAGGAAATCTCGATCAAAAAAACGACGATTCAACGGGGTCGGAGGATGTGGCGCCAGCCTGCTGCACCGTGCAAGGAGGGGCGCCCTGCGGCGCGGGCCCCGGAGGAAACGGACCCCGTGACTTTCGCCCAGTCCTGAGGCTAAGGCGAAGCCACAACGAGGATAACATCGGGTGAGGATACATCGAGAATCTCTGAGATCCCGTGGCACTGGAGAACGTCTCGGGCGCCGCGGCCTTCTCGGAGCTTTCCGGAACGCTCTGAGAGAGTGTTCCAGAACGCTCTGGAAGGAATCCCATCAGCCCTTTGGGCGCAGGTGGTCTAGGGCGGCTCCTCTCCACCCCCCTTCTTCCCCTTCGGGGAGGGGTTCATCACTGTTCCTTAATGATATTCACCCCCTCCCCCAGGTGACCGGGGGCCAACTAAGCACCATGCCGACACCATGCCGACCCGCCCCACACCATCCCGGTCAAAAAACAATACAACCCGCACTCTGCCTCCACATTTGGAGCATGCGCGGCCAACCCGATGAGCCCCCCCACCATCCCTGTCAAAAGACGATGCAAAGTACACTTTGGGGCAAAGTCTTGAGTCATGTTCGTGAGGCCCGCGAGCACTTTGTATTGCTTTTGACAGGGACGGCGGGGTGTCAGCATATTCCCTGCTGCACGCAGGGCTACCATCCCTGATACAGAACCAATACAACATGCATCTCGCGGCTAAATCTGGATCATGCGCGGCCATCCCGCGATCACTGTCAAGTTGTTTTTGCCAGGGACGGCGGGGGTGGTGGCGCGTGGCCTGCTGTGCGCAGACACACCAGACACAATGATGGGCATCGGTTTTCGACAAGGATGGTGGGGGCCGACATGTGTCCCGATGTGTGCTGTCACGTGCGCAGGCGAACCTGACGCACTCTGCGCGTGCCCCGAACGCGGCGCACCTGGCGCGGCTGGAGTGCGGCACACCTGGCGCACTCGGAGCACGTGGCGCATCTGGCGCACCAGGCGTGCCTGGCACGCTCGGGCCCCAGGGGTGCCTGGCGCGCGTGGCGCCCCTGGCACGCGTGGCGCACCTCGCCCAAGCGTCGCGCACCTGGGGTCGGCTTTGGTTCCCAGAAGCTGTTCATCCAAAGACGACCGCTGAACATGCTCAGGCTCGGGTGTTACTTGTGTAGGAAAAAACGGGTGGCAGTGAGCTAAAGGCTTGCGGGCGGGCGGGTAGCTTGACCCTCCCCCTCCCCCTACCCCCTCCCCTGAACCTGGACGGGGTCGGTCGCGAGCGGTCAAAGCGTCCAAAACGGCCTCGGCGAGGAAGCAAAAATCATAGGCTGTATTATGCTGTTGGCCCATTTGGGCCTTTTGGGGGGGGGGACGCTAATTGGAGCTCCCCCCTTGGTTGATCGATCTCCTCCTAGATGGCCCCAAGAGCGCCCTCCCAAGAGCGCCCCAAGAGAGCCCCAAGAGGCGCCCAGACGGCCCCAAGAGGCGCCCAAGAGACCCCCAAGAGACCCCCAAAAGGCTTCAAGAGGATCCCCGATGCACCCAAGCCGCATCGTCGATGCATCGGCGATGCGACGGGGTCCTCCGACCCCATCTACTCCGACCCCATCTAGGAGGCCCAGATTTTAAGGGGGGAGGTGGGGTTCACTTCGCTCTCCTCCTTCTGCGTCTCACGGCCCCTCGGCTGGCGTGCTCCGCGGAAGCTCGCGGCGAGCCCGTAGATCTGGTTGCGTACTGGACATAAAGCAACGGGTGTTTTGCCATCTTCGGCCTCTGGGGCCTTCGCTGGGCCTCAGGGTCCTGGACATAACGACGCGCGAGGAAAAAATGGCCCTTGGGAACGGGTCGGGACTTCCAGGGTACCGTTTGGAAAAGACAAGACTTCGCATGCCTCGGGAGGGATCACAGATGAGAAGTGGCCTAGAGAGACAGAGGGTGGGTGGGAGATAAGTAGAAGAAGAAACAACTGCAAAACTTTGGGCGCTCCGCGCGGATTTCTTGCATCTGCGCTGGACCCCCTCCCTGGCGCGCGGAGCGCGCCAAGGGCGGCGCCGGAGGCGCCGCCAGCGGTGCTCAGCGCAGATATAACAAAATTCGCGCGGAGCGTCTAACGTTTATGCGTATGGCTTCTAGTCTTCGTCGAATGAGGGAGCGGCCAGTGGATATTGAGAGGGAAAGGGGAAGAGAGAGAAGAAACATGAGAATATAGGCGAGAACGAACCGTCTGACAAGAGGAGGGCGCCGTGGCGATCGATACAAGATCTGGACACGCGTGAGCAAACTCTGGCCAAGTTCAGAATCTTGGCAGCGTATTGGGCTTCGTGCGTTCTGCAGGAAAAGCACCAAACGTCCCTCGGTGGTATCCTGGACGATATCATGCATGCGCTATAGAGGCAAGTGGATGCAAGCGGCGGGGAAGCGCTACTGCACAAACCTGAATGGCCCATCAATGCTGAACACAACCGCTTTCTCCTCCTCCATGGGCCCATCCTCCTCATCCTCGTCATCCTTCCTTGCCTCCTCCGCCCTCTGATAATGATGTTCCTGCCCCGCCCACTCTTGCATTCTTCCCGTGCTTCATAGTCACTCACTCGTTCGTCCAATCTCTCTCTCTCTCTATCCCTCTCCCACTCGATCTCTCTCTCTCTCTCTCTCCCTCTCTCTCTCTCTCCTCTGTTCATCCCAATCAGCCTGGTCGCCCTTGACTCGCGTCGTCTTGACGGCGATATCCGCGAAGATCCCCGGGTGGGGGACACCAGGAGGATGGCCCGAGCGAGAGGCAGCGAGGGGGAGGCGGATGCCCGAGGGGCGACGACGAGCAAGGAGGGGAAGAGAAGCCTGCCGGGAAAGGCCGGCCCCTTTCGGCGTGAAGGACGCGGGCATCGAGGCCCTTGGGAGACGTGCGGGGCAACGATTAGTGGGGGACTGGCTCCAGGGGGGGACACGTCGACGTGGCATCGGCGACACCTCGTCGACTGATCGGCGATAGGCTCTCGATAGCGACACCGCACTGTCCTGGGCGGAGTGGGCTAGCAAACCCCTGTCGGCGATCAATGGTCGATTGAGGATCGACGCGTACCCTGGGAGCGCATTCCCTCCTTTTAACGTTGCAACTGAAGACGGCCCTGGTCCCCGGGGCTTTCCAGAAAGCACAGCTCTTCATCCTGAACCGTGTTGTGACGGTCCTGGGGCCTGTGAAGGGAACAGGGATGGCAAAAGCGGCGAAGCCCACATCCTTCAGAACCAGGCGGATCCAATCGGAGTGAGCGCCAGATGGGGCCGCATCGGCACGAAGCCGGAATCGAATTGGATCGGCGGCACAAGGACGCACGACAGCGCCATGCAAGCGGATCGAATTCACATACATACATGTGTACCATTATTGATTCCCCAAACAATGATTTTACCTAACGATTCTTACCTGGTCTCAAAAGAATGCTGCGCATGGGTGTTGGTCTGACCCGCTTGTTGGAACCGTCGCTGCCCGTGGTCGGCACTGCTTCTGCGACTGGGTGTCGGTCGCCGCGCTTACTGTCGCCGCCGCCACCCGTCTCCGCCGTCCGTCGCCGCCCGCTGTATTGCAATCGCAGGGCATCGCATTTGCGTTCGATTGCGTTACATTTGATTGCTTTGCATCATATTGCATTGCTCTGAACCGCTTTGTGGTCGCTTCCCATTGCTCTGCCTGGCTTTGCATTGCATCACATTGCGTTGCCTTGCTTTGTATTGCTCTGCTTTGATCTACATTGCTCTGCATTGCTCTGCAGTGGTTTGCAATGTGTTTCATTGCTGTGCGTTGCTTTTCAATGCGCTGCTTCGCATTCTATTGCACGTGTTTGCGTTGCTTTGCTGGGCTTTGTATCCCTTTGCGTTACGTTGTGTTGCGTTGCTTTGTTTTGCATCGCATTGCACTGCCGTGCATCGTGTTGCGCTGCATCGCATTGCATTACTTTGCATTGCTGTGCAGTGCTCTGCCTCATTTCTGCGCGTTGAACTGCATTTCTTTGCATTGCTTCGCATGGCCATACAGTGCGTTGCATTGCTCACTGTCGCTTTAGATCGCATGGCATGGATTTGTACTACTTTAAATTGCATTGCTTTCCACTGCTCTGAACTGATTCGCGTGTCTTTGCATTGCTTGCACTGGTTTGCATCGTAGTACACTGATATGCAATGCGTTGCATTGATCTACATTGCTTTGCATAGCTCTGCATTGCATTGACTGGCTCGACATTGCCCTGCTCTGCTATACATTGCTCTGCCTCTATTTGCATTGGTTTGCATTGCTTTGCTCTGCATTGATCTACATGGATTTGCACTGATGTGCATTGCTTTGATTTGCTTTGCTTTACATGGCCTTGCATGGCTGTACATTGCCTTGTATTGCTTTGCATTCCTTTGCATTGCGTTGCACCACGATTCTGAACCACACGTATTGCACCACCTAGATTCCACCGCATAGTTTGTTAGACAGCACCGTAGCTCATTATTGTATATATAGATATGAAAATATGTATACATGTGTGTTCGCATGTGCATTTATATATATGTATATATATATATATATATATATGCACGTGTACGTATATGTATATAAATATGAATATATGTATGAGATCGGTATCGATGCGGGAAAAGCCGTCCGAAATCGATACCGACTGGCCCTGCTTGGCGACCTGTGGGCAATGGTGCAGGGGCGACGAAGAGGGGCCGGCAGAGGGGGAGAGCCGCTCTCTCGCTCTCTCTCTCTGCGCAGCCCGCACGGGCTGGAGTTCCCTGAGGCTGGGCGATCTCACGCGTTCACTGATCACCACCTCCTCCTCTTTTGGCGGCGCGCTCTCCTCTCGGGAATCTACCGACCCCGGTCAATCCAAATCCGGATCAGTCGGGCTTTGCAGGATCCTGCAGGATCCTGCAAGATCCTGAAGGATCCTGCACCCGAAGCCGGGTCAATGTAACCCTGGCTCTGCTGGATCCTGCAAGATCGGGCGCTCTGACTGACCCCCGTTTGCATTGACCCCGTCTCTTGAGCCCCGATCCTCGCCTCATTCTTCGTCTCTGGCATCCTCACCAGGTCGAGTCGGACGAAAAACCTAGGGATAGCAAAGGGGGGCTTGCGACTTAATTAGCGTCATGCCGATGGTTTTCCAGGAGCGGGAAGCGACCATGTAATGAGGAACGCGCCGTGAAGCGGGGCCGGCACTTCCTGCATGCAGCAAATTTCGCATCCCCCTTCCCCGATCCCCCCGCCCTTTTGTCCGCCCCGATGTGGGCAGGTCCCATCAGAACGTCACAATCCGTGCCCCTCAGGACAGGGAGGTGAAGGCCGTGGCTCCACTGGCGCGCACGCACGCACGCACGCACACGCAAAGGGCAGGCAGGACGCGTGATGTATTACTGTGTTGCCCATATGCAAAGAGCTTGTTTGATTATTATTCGCGACATGTCACGCTCATTGCCGGCCCCGCCCCACCCCTCCCCTCCCCCGTGGTCACGTCATGATTCGCGCCGGCGCCGTCTGGGCATTAGCCGTTCCGTGGCATTCCCAGATGGCGCCGGCGCAAATCGTGACGATACCCGCCCTCCCCCGCCCCTCTCCGATCACGCCCTGACACCAGGGGACGAAACATCGTCTCAAGTACCCGTCCGTGCCGTGATCTTAACACAAGGCTCTCCCATGGAACACTGGCACCATCCATGCGTGAGGTGGTTCCCGCATGGAACCGAACCCAAATCAAATCTGGCGTTGGAAAGCGTACTCCGCAGCACTTACACACATGGCGGCCTTCTGAACAGACACCCCCTCGAGTACAATTTCGATTGCCGAGATGCTTCCACGATCGAACACCCGGCTCCGCAAAGTCGCAACGCAAGCCATCGCGCAAGGCCGACTGCAGCCTGCGATCATCCAGAAGCTCCGGCTTCTCCGACGACCACGGAGGCTGCCTGAGGCTCATGTGAGTTCCCACGGAGGCCGCGAAGAAGGCGGACCAGAGACCCCTGCGGAGCAGGAGGAGGAAAGGGAGGAGAGGGAGGAGGAGAAAAGAAGGAGGAGGAGGGGCAAGAGGAGGGGGAGGAGGATGAGGAGGAGGAAACGGATGAGGGGGAGGAGTGGGACTAGTGTAAACCCAGAAGTCATCAACGATGTTGGAATAAACCCTCCCTCCAAGATTCCTCTCAATAGGCTCCTACAACGGTTCATTTCCATTGAAGGAACTGCCTCTTTGGAGGACAACCGTTTCAAGACCCTGGAGCATGCCAAAACATCGTTCTCGGGATTCCAACGCTACGGATCACTGACTGAATCGAGCCAGAATGACATTCCTGGGACTTGAACACAACGAATCATGAAACATGTTGCGTGCGAATAATCCAGAGTCATCTCAAAACACCAATTCTGGCACATTGATAATGGGAATCCGTGAAACTTTGTTAAACGAATGCGCGCCGCCCTAAAACGAGGACGACCTTTTGAAATAGAACTGCCCTCAATCCGTGAAGCTCTTGCAAATGTTTACAATGAATGTGCGCCACGCTGAGGCGAAAACCACAGTTTGAAAACCACCCGCCCTCAATCCGTGCAGCCCGTGCAAATGGTTAGAACAAATCTGCGCTAAGGCGAGAACCACATGTTGAAAAGGAACCGCCCTCAATCCGTGAAGCTCTTGCAATGTTTGAAAACGGATGTGCACCGCGCTAAAACGAAAACCACATGTTGAAAACGTCTCGCCCCCAATTCGTGAAACTCTCTCATTCTTGATAACGGATGTGCGTCGCGCTAAAGCGAGAGCCACATTTTGAAAACGACCCGCCCTCAATCCGTGAAACGTTTGTAAATTGTTAAAACGAATGTGCGCCGTGCTGGGGCGAGACCCACATTTTTAAAAAGACCCGCCCTCCATCTGTGAAGCTGTTGTCAACTTGTAAGCTTCAGAGTCATACATGGTGAGGAAGACTCAGGTGAAACGCCAGGCCCGCCTTGAAAACTGGAAGGGGTAAATAATGGAAGGGGTGGCACGGGGGGAGGAGGAGGAACTCTGGGAGGGAGGCCGCCCTGAAATTCTCGGAGGCCGCTGGATTGGCACGTGGGCCCATGGAGGAGGCTGGCCCCAGGCACGGGGGGGGTCGCAGAGGGGGGCTCGCAAGCCATTCCCTGAGGCAGGTGCGAGGAAGAGCGGAGGACAAGATGGCGTATTGAAGCTGGAAGGGGGGGCCGTAAAGCCTCCCAGATACCCCCAGGAGTCCTCAAGAGGCCTCCAGAGAGGCGTCCCAAGAAACCAGCAGATTCATCCAGAAAGCTCCTGACAACCAAGATATAACCTCCACGGGGTCGGCGGAATGGCGTGAGCCATTTGAGTAGGAAAAGCGGAGCCACGAAATGCAAGGAGATATCCTGGCCCCACCATGACCCCCACCCCACCTGGTCATCCCCACCCATGCTGCGGCTTTTGAAGGGGCCCAAGGACACACAAATAAATACACACAAACGACAAAATTCCCTCAGGGGCCCAGAGGGGCCGGGGCCGGCGAGGAAGACTCGGGGCACCCCTCCCGCCAGGGGCCAGCCCCTCGTCGTGGCGGGGGCCCCTCGTCGCGGCGGGGGCCCCTCTGGCCCTGAAGGTCCCCCGGGAGCCCACCGGGAGCTCTCCTTGGCCCCATGAAGGCCGCTGCAAGTTCCCGGAAGCCCAATGCCACGGGGTTGATGGAGGTGTCCC